CACACACAGCCTCTTCCCAATATGCGTTTTTGCAATTTACATATATGCAAAAACGCATAAAAATAGCAGAAAACTGAGAAATGAAGTGAGTGAAGCAGAAGTGAAGAAAATACAATCAAAAAACAATCGAGAAAAGACGTCTCCATAGACATCGCTATTGTAGCATATTTCAAACATAAATTTGCCATAAGTTTATAAAGCAATATTAAAGTGATAGAGATGCCGAACAGTTAAATATGTTCGTCCCAACTGGAGTAGCCAGGCCTATGGATGGGACAGATAAGCATCACACACTACAGCACGAAATTATTTCCTTGAAGAAAATTGGATAATCGGCACACAGACATCATCTTTTGTTAATCTGATGTTCACTAAATAAAAGTAATATTATAAAGGGAGAATGGCTGGTAATGGCAGCCAATCCATTTTGCGCTTAAGAAATTCCAAAGTGTTCGAAAAGCTGATTCAAAAGATCAAAAGTTAGTAAAATGACAAGACAGGACCAAAATAGTTCAGAGCGAAACAAGACTAAATCAAAATCAAATAATTTAAAACGAAAAGTAAAACTGCGGTGATTGGGATGCATGGGATCTGATGCTTTGTTGAAGGAACGCCTCTCGTTTCAAGGTGAATGCGGTACTACTTAAAATTTGTGCGTGTCTTAAAACTGGAAAGATTTTGTACCTGTCAGAAACAGTTCTTGCTTTGAACTGCAGGTCTTCTGCTAAAACAGTTTGATCAGATCCAAAGCCAGGACTGTCTCCATTATTACTGCAGTCGTCGTCATTACGGTCATTGAACAGCTGCTCAAAAATTGCTGCTGTTGATCCGGTTTGTGTGGAAACGGAGCGTTCATAATGTATCCCGTATGATTGGTCATTGAGATTCATTTTTCGATCCATTGAGACCTTATAACAAAAAATCAAATTTCGTTTCGAGTTGGAAATAAATAATTTGAAGTGCTTGTTGTCTGAATAACATGCTTATTTTAACCAAATAACGATGCCTGCAGCTCGAATGTTGCATCCATAAAACAGAAATTTTAACGAGACTGTAACTTTGCGTAAAAGTTCAGGATATTTGAAGTAGGTAATTTACTGCTGATGATCATGTTAAATCAACAACCGTCTCGTCACTGAGATTAAATTACAGAAATATTTGAACTGCAAATTTTTCACTCGCTGATAACCCAGCGCTAAACTAAATGCTTCTCCTTTTAACTGATATGCTCTACATTCATACGTATATATAAAATTATATACTTCCCCTTTTAACTGGTAGACTCCATGTTCATATATATATATGTACTGTATATACTGCGCCCAATATATATATATATATATACTGCGCCCAGTGATGACGATGAAGCAGAAGAATTCTATGCTAAATTCGAAACCATATTAATCCTCAATTCCACACTCTCGTCATGGAGGATTTCAGTACAACGCTTTAACGATGAGGAAGGAATGAAGAAAAGGACTTTGGCAAACATGGCATTGATAAACTTAGTCGAAAGCGTACCGACTGCCGGTGCAAGAATGCGTTTTTATGCGTTTTGTGCTGTGTAACAGCAGTACAAAACGCATATTGTTACGGGGTTG